TGGAATACACATGATTTGTAGATTGTTTCGGCGTGTATCAGAGGTTCATCCTAGGAGTAAAAATTGGATGTTGAAAAATCTGGCAAAATCAAGTATCAAAATGGTGTTCGGATTTCAGCGAGGATCGCGCGACACTAAGCTATTTCTTCTTGTTCTCTCCAAGTTATTCAAATACAGTCAGCTCTCGATAACTCGAACTTCTTTAACTCGAAGCTGCTTTGTTGCCCTTGGAAATTCTCACATGAAAATGCATTTTCCCACATTTCCCCTCTTGTCGAGAACTAAAAAAAAAAAAGAAAATTTCTAGTCATCACGAAAGTATTCAGCTATTTATCGAAAAAATTCTCTAGGATCTGCAAATTTTCATGAATGAAATAAATATTAAAAAGAAGGTGGATTGAAACACTACCGTTGAAAAGATCTCAAGCTCACCTTTCTAAGGACTCCACCACTGAAACTGTAAGGGCTTCGACACATTGAAAGAAACGCCACTGGATTGACCAAAAATGGAATTTTTAAAATTTTAAAATGAACTCTTCCCTATGTGTTCAAGTTAAACTCTTGCTTTTTAAATGCACCTGAAAGAGGAGTGCACCATATTGTAACGAGAGATTTGCCTTTTTCCTCGCCACATGGGGATGGCTGGGAGTCCAAATTGCCAAAATTTCACATTTTCACACTCAACCATGATACAGAAATCTCATTCAAACTGCAATTATGTTTGAAGCGAATTGTTCAGCTATGAAGGATTTCTGGTTGAAGCTACTGCACGCCGATGAATCGTTTCTAAGATGGACATTTTGCCGTCCATGGGTTTTGCCGTTTTCTTAAGTTCCTGACCGATATCTCGCTAACCACAGATTCGATGGAGGCGATTCTTCTTTTTTTTACCATGTTGTTAAAGTCACTGCAGTCTCTCAGAATTTTTATCCAGAATTTCGAGGTGGTTAAGCGCCATTTCATACTGAAATTTATCGAGTTTCTATGGAAAGACCCATCAATATAAGAACACTTACTGCAGATTCGGTTATCCCAAGAATGCGATGATCCACGCCTTCGCTTTCCACCCTGATCAGTTGGGAAAGTGAAGACGGCGATGTGTCACGAGGTCTTTGCGTCTGCACCTTATCAGCGCTGCACCCTGCTTTCAACCAGTCACTGACCGTGAACGCCACCATAAACAACTATTAGAATCTAATGCTTTTGAAACTTTGCAGAATTTTGTTGAGGTCACGTCTGGTTTGGCACTAGAGACTTTCGACTCAATCGCGCCTTTGTAAAATATCGTCGCCAAGCGGGAATGTGTCGCGAAAAAACGCTGAAATCTTCTGTTAGACGTTTTCGAGCGATTATGATAAAATGAGTAGGTATAACACGTTTTGCATTGCTATATACATGCATGAACCATTATGTAGGGTATAGAATCTGAGAAACCTCTATAACTCGAATTCTCGATATCTCGAATTTCCCTTGAACTTCGAGTTATCGAGACTTGGCTGAAATTGATAAAGGCATATTTCTGGGACACAGGAAGCCTGGGCCGAACGTCTCCGATATGGATCGGGCTCCAAAGACAAGGCTCCGATTGGGCGTGGATGGACGGAAGCCCCTTCGACTTCGACAACTTCAACCAAAATCCCCCCTTCGATTCAAAAACGAATTTTTAAAGTTTGTATTTGCTTTTAAGGAAAAAATTATTTAAAAAAATATTTGGCCTTGCTCGTTTTTGTAACAAAAATACCTTGTTCGCATGAGGGTTAAATGAAATAGGGAAGTGATTCCCCCCAAAACCAGAGTTCATGTATGCGCCCAGTTGACAAACATTAAGAAACATAGCAGAGTAGAGGACGCATTTTTATCTTCATCTCTATGTAATTTCAAGCTTTTTCCATTATTCCACGAAGAGAATAAATGCGTCTGGAACTTAAAACCGACAGCAAAGACTTCGGTAGACATTTCCCCCCCCCCCCTCCTGCCCATATCAGCTATGCCCGATGCAGTTTGAGCAACCTGTAAAACTGTGAGAGCCTGCTTTTTTTTCATTATGGAGGAACTTCCCCAGTAGCACAAAACATTGAATCAACATTGACTGAATGCTGATTTAACGTCTGGATGCAGATTCAATGTTATGTGCTACTGGGGTTCATGAATGAGGTCCATCGTTTTGCATGTCGAGACTCACGCACAAGATAACAGCACTGGGAGGTAGACAGCTTATGTTACTGTTTTTCATTTTAATATCCCAGCCGAAAAAAATAACCTTAAAGGATGCTCGCGAGGTTTTCAAACAGCGGTTTTCGAACAGATCGCGAGAGATCATGCCATGTACCTAATTGAGGCTCGTGAGCCAAGGATTCTGCTCATGAGACTCAACTTGCCAGTCCTCACGAGTTCTTGAAACTGATATAAAACGGTGATTAAAAAAAATTCGTAACTACAATATTGTCACTTTTTCCTTTCTCACCATGTCACTTCATCCTGTGGGCCAGAATGGTAGTCTCTGAGAAGCAAGAGCTGCTTTTTTTTTAATAATTGTTTTCCCTTTATTTTACATCATCTTCGTGAGGCTTTCCCTAAAACTGTGGCTCCAACAGATCTCAGGCCACTGGCAAAAGCAACTCCAAGAAATGATGGACGTAGAGGTCGCAACAGGGGAAGAACCATAATTGCCACGAGCACTCCAGAAATCCATAGAAGAAAGGAAGAACGAGCGAAGAGAGCAAGACAGCAAAAAGGAAATCTGCGATTGAAAACCAAACTTCTCCAAGGCAATGGCGATGATGAAGACCGGATCACCTAAGTCTTTCCATATTTAGCACATCCAGGGGAAGATCAACCTCCAGAAATGGACTATGTCTCCTGCCTGTACATGATATATATACTGTATTATGCATGGATAGGGGTTATACCAGTACGTGCTTCGTCCTGGTGATGGGTGTCTGGGTAGAGAGGTAAAGCATGTGGTACGAAATGATGAAATGAATAATTCAATATTGGTCGAATATCGGTCCAGTTCAGGACCAGTGAAGCCTTTGCTTTTCCGTAATGCTCCCCCCCCCCCCCCCCCCCCCCCCCCGGCCGTCTTCTCTCCTCGTTCCTCGGAATTCTCCGCGGGCGTGTCCGTCCACGCGAGAGGCGTTTCTCTTCGAGTTGCATCCATTCCGAAAGTGCCAAGGTTCAGATAGCATTCCAGGCGACACGTTCTTCGTCGACATGCATGGAAAGGGCGAATGGAGGCCGATCGAGTCTCGAAGTTCTTCTTCTCGAGGAACCCTGCCTCTCATGTCGTATCTGCAGAAGTGGGGAAGATCTCGCAATGCTCTGAAGATGCAACAGCCATTGTACTGTTTTTTTTTTTGTTCATACAAAAATTGGAAACATTGCAAATGGGGAAGGTTTGGCTTGCATACACAAATTGGTTCCACAGCAAAAGTTTCAAGGATCCACTTGCCGGTACTTCCAGAACCCCAAAGTACGATTTCCTGAGTAACAGAAGATGTTCCAGCAACTTTTGGGAAATGTTGGTGAACAATGTTGCGTCTATGTGCAAACGTCCTAAACGTCAACATTTCTCAAATGTTGCGAATGAACGTTACATTGACGTTGCAAATCGTTACTTATTCATTACATTTACGTTGCAGAAACGTTTCAGGATTTATGGTGCTGCAATGTTGATTAAAAACGTTGCTTCACGGGCACCTAATCAGGCCCTATATTGGCATTACGGAAAAGCAAAGGCTTCACTGGTCCTGAGCAGTTTTCCGCAGCTGGTGCTGGAAAATTTCCGGCGGTGACATCAAATCGAAAATTCCCACGAAATAAAATCCGACTTTATCTCTATCTCTGCCATCCACACCACATGGAACCTTTTCTTCCATTGGGTATTTAAAAAAAAGACGCCACGGCAAAAAACAAACAAACAAACAAAAAAACAAAGCAAAGATACGAGATGGAACCTCGAGTGCACATCGTCAGCCCTCTGCTACATGTCCTGTCGCAGTGGTCTTCCGTGGATGGCTACTGCGGCACCACGCTCACAGACCCGATGGGAACTTCTCATCGCCCAATTAATTACGATAATTACGATGACAGCATCTACTGCGAGCATTCCATCCGCGCGGAACCAGGCTACGAGATCGAACTCACATTCGTCGATTTCGACCTCGAAAGGATTTTTCGTGTGGATTTACAACCGTACTGCGGGTGAATACCACATCTACACTGGAAATTTAGGCACCAGTGAACAGTTTTTTCGATTCCGAAACTTGGAGCAACGTGTCCTACGTGCTACCAGCCGGCGCTTTTCCCACATTTGTGACCCACGCCAATTTTAAACAAGAAATAATTGTTTTTCCGTTGAGCATTCTCTGCTCGAGATAAGCGAGAATGAAAGGCGCCACGTATTACAGGCCCCTTATGAACTTTTTTCCTCATCCCCCAGGAAGGGAAGTTCGCATCTCGACAACACGAGTATCTGATTTATGGCATCGTCAAATAACTTCCATGTCACGGCATCGCTGTTTCCGTCTCCTTGGTCCCGCACATTCTACCACGTCCAAAAAACTGCCAATGAGCCGTGCTTTTCAGTTGTTTTTATTCGCGATCATGACCAATATTTTCCCATGACACTGTATTTCCTCAATCCATCTGCGACTTCTAGACGAATTAGAATATTAATAGGAAATCCAGCCAAAAGAGTGTCTCCAATCCTATTTTTCGGAATTTTTTCCAGATCGGACCTCCAGACCTAAGATCGTGGCTACGTGATGTTTTGACAGTCCTCCTAGTGAATACAAGCACTTGTGGCAGGATATATTGCTCAATGCAGATATGAAAAGCAGGCCAATCGGGAGACAGGGAATTGACAGCACCGGATAACGTTCCCATGTGCGGGGGGACACGTCATTCACACGTCAGAAATAGAAACGTCTGAGAAAAATTGTTGTTTGTTGTGTCACTATGGGAGAATGCCAGATGACATCTTTCCGATTTCTCCCCTCGAGCATATATAAAGCGCCTCGATGTAGGCCGGGAGGAAAGAAGGAGGATGGCAGCCCAAGCGTACTTCGTCAGCCTGTTGCTACTCGTCTGCTTGCAGTGGTCATCGGTGGATGGCCAGTGCGGCGGAGACTTCACAGCACCCACGGGAAACTTCTCATCACCCAATTATCCTGATAATTACGACGACTACTCCTTCTGTGTATATGAAATCGACGTGGGAGAAGGTAACGGGATCGAGTTGACGTTCCTCGATTTCGAACTCGAGAGTGGGTTCGATACCGTCACCATCACCGATCTCGGTACGGGCGAAAACGAGACCCATACTGGACAGTTGGGATCTCTCGGCCCGTTAACGTTCCTATATCATAACATTCGCGTCACGTTCGAATCTGACCTCTCCATCACATTCAGGTAAGAGAAGCGCATGCCTTGCTTTGGTTTGCAGTTATGCTTATCAACTACAAATTAAGCTTCAGGATGTGGTTTGATGCTGAGATTATTTGAAAGAGTGTTGCTCTACCCCGAAATCATGTTTCCGAAATTAGAGGATTCTATGCGGAGTACGAGTCCTTCTTGCAGCCGTGCGACATAAGTGCCGGCTGGGAACCGCACGACGGACTGTGCTACATGTACATGAACGAGCCAAAATCTGCACCCGAAGCTCAGCTGGAATGCGAGGCGAATGGCGGAAACCTCGCCAGCATTCATAGCGGCGGCGAAAATGCATACATTGGTCTGTGGAAAATCCCTTCGTTGATCTTGCATAAGTTCGATGCGAAGGCTTGTGAATTCGGGCGAGAAATTACTTTGAAATTTTTGCATTTTTGTCAATTTCTCACAATAGCTAATTATACAACCCGGTGCTGAAGCATCGGACGTTAAGAGGTGGATAGAAAGGCACGAAGTTGGAGTCTTTTCTAAGCCAAAACGCAGAAGGGCTTAAAAACCAATTTGCGAACAATTCTCACCGAGTAAACTTTGTCTCTCTTTGCGATTGTCTCAACGAGAACTCCCTTTCCTTTAGATTTCCTACTACTGTACTAATCAATTGAACGAAAATTAGGAACTGAAACTCGCAATTCCAATCTGGAATCCATATATTGAGCTAGCTAACGAAGAGTTCTTCTTGGAAACCATCGCCATCATGATTTGTAGATCGTTTCGGCGTGTCTTCTAATAAGAGTAAAAATACGGATTTTGGAAGATCTGCCAAAATGAAGTATCGAAATGATGTACAGATTGCACGGAGATTCGTGTGACTCTAAGCTATTTCGTCTGGTCCAAGTATATAAATAATTAATAAATGAATATTTCTTTGACGCAGGAAGCCTGGGCCGAACGTCTCCGATGTGGATCGGGCTCCAAAGACAAGGCTCCGATTGGGAATGGATGGACGGAAGCCCCATCGACTACGACAACTTCAATCCGAATTTCCTCGGAGAGGACGAATATGCGATCATGTGGAAGGATCAGTGGGGCAACGACGAATGTCGGCCATCCAAGTCCTTCGTCTGCCGTCTTCGGGCGGACGAATGCCCGGATTCGACTTGGATCCAGGAGGGTTCCGATTGCTACCTCGTCATGAAGGACTCCCTCCTGTTCGACTCAGCTGTTAGGTACTGCGAGAGCACGGACCCTGCGTCGACGCTTCTGACGGTGCCCGATGACGTGAATTACAACTTCATCGTCGAATCCATCCTCAACGGACAGGAGCTGAACGAGGAAGTGGATATTTGGATCGGGATCGAGAGGGAAGGATCGACCTGGGGCTGGGTCGACGACACCACGTCCGAATTGGACAACTGGGCTCCGGGTTACCCTGTTGAGGATGCGGGAAAGGATTGCGGCACCATCCTCCTCAGTACCTGGACTGATTCTCCAGATGGCAGTTACCCTTTTGTTTGCAAGCAAGACCCTTCACGTCGTCCTAAATAAAATTTGGACTGGATCACCCTGAAACCAGAGTTCAATTTATGTTCTGGTTGTAAAAACATGAATAAACATTGCAGAGTATAAGACGTACTTGTATCTTCATAACTATGCTACTTAATGTTATTGCATCATTCCATGAAGAGAATAAATGCATCTGGAACATAAAACTAGCAGCTAAGACATCCCTAAAACAGTTACCTGTTGCAGTCTGAGCTACTCGTTTACATGTGGGAGCCTGCTCTCTTTTGTACTAAGGAGGAACTTAATGGGCTAGGATAGGTTTTGCATGTTGAAATTCCACGCACGATATAAGGGCTCTGGGAAGTAGAGAGTTTATGTTCCTGTTTCTCGTGCTATATCCCAGCCGGAAAAAGAATCTAATGAGATGCTCGTGAGATTCTCAAACAGGGACCTCATGAGGTATTATGAGATTTACCTCATGAGGTACCATGCCATTTACCTATTTGGGAGCTCGTGAGCCAGGGATTCTGCTCATGGGGCTCAGTTTGCCAGTTCTCACGAGTTCTTGAAACTGATATAAAACCGTGCCAAAAAGAATTCATAACTTTAATATTGGCACTTTTTCCTTTCTCACCACGTCACTTCATCCTGTGGGCCAGAATTTTTCTGTAGTCTCTTGGAACATCCTACATCCTCGGACAAATGAAAGGAATTCAAATGTATTTCTCAAAGTGATCCGAAGGAACAACAACATGCGTGGGCCTATCACGAGGAAACTACATAAGGAAATGAGGTTTCACAACGATCCCCTTCGAAATAGTTCCTTCGGCTAGCAATACACTTCTCTCCACGTTTGTGAAGTGTTTCTCATACCGGCTGTAACCCAGTCTCGGCAAACATCTTCAACGCGTTGATCGCAGCTGACGAGCTGTGTCGTCGAAGGAATTTCATACCGAAGAGCAGAGTGAAGGCACAAGGTGAATAGGGAGGATTTTTGGGAGGCAAATGCCAACTCACAATCGGTTCGATGTATTCACATGTTACAGCCATGGTCCTGTCCGCCGGCGGTCGCTGCTGACAAGCTCAGGAAGGGCCTGCACAGTTCCCTCATACGGCTTTCGATGGCCGTTCGTTGCGTTCTCCATCTTCAAGGGATTCCTGCCCGTCGTGAAATCCATTTCCACAGGTAGCTTTTGCTGCAGCAGTGAGATTCTGAACTTCGCGATAATACTGGTCACAGATCTACGAGAAATGCCAGAATCCTCCGCGATCTGTCGTTGACTCTGGCCACACTCTGAACCTATAAGACGACCTAGAGTGAACGGGGAAATATCGTGGGATCCGCTTGTTTCGACATGGTGATGGCGAACCCTGATTATTTGCTCATTTACAAATTAAACGTCTAACTTAAGCCAAAGCCCTCCTGAAATTTGAAACATTAGGCTAGATGCATTCATATATGGGGATGACTAAATTATTATGTAAGGGGTCTGTATGAGCCTCATCTACACTCTTAAAAGTGCAGCTTTCATGGGCATTTATTTAGAAGTGACTCTTGAAGGTTAACGGGGCTTCAAAGTTATCAGGGACTCATAACCTTTATCATCTCCTGGACCCTTGCATGTAAATGTTACTAGAAAGTTACCAGATCGTCGTAACTTTGATAGAATTGAAGACCTTCATAATAATGGATAAGCTCATGCGAAATGTTACTAGCACAGAAGAGCTCAGAAGAGGTTCGCGCAAACTGGGCCAGATGGCGCCGAAGTAGACGTTATTGCGAGCCAATACCTGATACAGCTGGAATAAGGTTATATTATTTTCCACTCGATGCGCGATCTTTCCACGCGGGCACCGCAAGGGAAGACATTTGAATTCTTCAACAGATTGGCCTAAAGAGGTAACACAGTCCAAGGTGTTTCCAGAAAACTCTGGCATGGGGGTTGCTAGGAGGGTTCAGCTTAGAGGGTGTCTCCATGGGGAATGCGTTTTTATATTCAGATTCTATCGCAAATCCGAAACAGGGAAAAAACTAATGCTTCATAGAGGTATCAGAAAAAGTTCTATTTCTGTGCTCTGTTTCGCAATTCTCGTAGAGATAGGAGTACTATCGTCCTGCCCGATGGAAGGTAGAAATCTCTAATTCCACAGGATGTTAATGGAACGTGGGCAATATCCTAAGTGGAAGGTCTATTCAATATTAATTAAAAGATCCGGTGTTACTTGAACTGCCATGGCATTTGGTATGATTGGAAATTTATAAATGACAAAGGCAGCAAATACTGTTTTCCTAAGACATAACTTTTGGATAACCTTCACTCTGTTAAGTTAGAAGTAGCTTTGATTTAAGGGGTAAAAATTGTTAGTTTTCTAACCCTTAGTACTGGTTACTGTGGTTAATTATTTAAGAGTGTACTCATGAATCCAACTCACGTTCACCGATTTTGAACTCGAGGAATGCCCCTGGGACTTTATAACGATTTATCGTTCCTTGGATGAAGAGGAGACCTATTGCGGAGCGTTGGGATCCGTCGGCCCAATTCTTGAGCAATCTTCTTCCCTTCGCATCACACTCGAAACAGACGCTGCCAATAGTTACAGGTGAGAGAGGCGAATGCCTTTCAAAGTGATCTAGTCGTATACTTATCAAATACACCTAGTATATAGGGGTAATTCCATATCAGATTGACCAAATTTTCCATGATTTCTTGGTCGACCATGAGTGATTTAGTTGAAATTAGGTACAGAGTTAGCGTTTGGCCCAAACATATGAAATCCAAAATCTTTATTTCTTGACCAAAAGTTTGTTTATGGCGAGATCAGAAAATTCAAACCTATTTTAGCTGGTAAGGCTGACCTTTCTTGAATAACTTTTTGCCTATTTGTCATAAAAGTTTAATTTAGGATTTAGATTTCTAAGATCTCTTTCAGTTCTATTTTGTGCATCTAATTTCAAGTTCATATTCCTGAATACTATAAATGGACTTCCTAAAATTCTCCAGGATCAAGAATGGTTCCATCACAATCCGCCCCTAAACAGCGTTTATCCTTTTCATGGATTCAAATTCTACTAAATCCTTCTACTTTCAACCCTCCAGCTGGTCGTTGCCCACCTCTCGATGACTTTCTGAAACTGATGCAAATCCACCTTTCGGCTCAACATTTCCATAAGACCTCGCCCAGCTTATCCAAACAAGAATAAGACGCTTTGCTCGGCTTGAAAAAAAAAATCCCTTTGATTTTAAAAAAAATCAAAGCTCAAAAACTCAGCTCTGACCCCAGTCAATGCTTTCTCTCTGACGTCTCCAAACGTCTGCACTCCCACGTTAAAGCTGAGAATATTTCTGAAAAGCTCGAAAAGGGCCTCATCCCCAACCGCCCAAAAGCTGGCATCTTCTACATCCTGCCAAAGATCCACAAACCTGATTGTCCCGGACGACCGCTTGTCAGCACTATTGGCACTGTGACTGAGTGAATCTCACTTTTTGTGGATCCCCATCTAGCCCCTCTTGTCCCTCTTCTGCCATCCTATCTCTGCGACACTAGCAACTTTCTCTACCAACTGGAGCTCCTTAATCTGGACAAGCTGCCACCCAACCTTGCTTTAGCCACTATCGACGTCCAATCGCTTTATGCATCCATTTCTAATGATGATGGCATAAAAGCTTGTACTCACTTCTTGAACAAACGGGTCACCCCTTTGACTCCTACTACTACCATTATAGACTTCCATATCCTCTGTTTAACTCGTAACAACTTTCAGTTCAACTGTAACAATTATCTCCAAATTCATGGAACAGCCATGGGCTCAAAATGTGGATGCAATTATGTTTACCTTTTTATGGGTAAATTTGAAAAGAAAGCCTTGACTAAAAGCGCCTTAAAGCCCTTTAAATGGTTTCGTTTCATTGATGACTACTTCTTACTGTAGCGTCATGGCTTTGGTATATATTCCTAAATTTGTTGCACCCCACCATCAAATTTACTCACATCTACTATTAAACTTCAGTGAATTTCCTTGATTGTAAGATATTAATTTCCAATGGGAAGCTTTTAACAGTCCACTTCTCCGAACATACTAATTCTCATCTATACACGTATCTCCACTTCATGTCCTGTCACCCTCCCTTTTTCTTAAAAAGTCTCTCCCTCATATCTACTCTGAAACTTAATTTCATTCAACTTTTTTTCCTCTCTTGTCTTTTCCTTTCGACTTCATTCATATATTTGAATTTTATTTTTATTTTTATTATCACATGATCTTATTCCACTTATTTTTATCCGTTTTCTTCTGACCCCCCCTTTTCTTTTTATTCTCCTTTTTAGTTAACTCTGATGAAGGGGACCTTGTGTCCTTGAAACGTTGGTCTTTCCTTATAATAAATTATCCGGTTCGAGGAGCCTATAGTTGTAAGGTGGTACTGATAAGCTTAAAGCCTTTGAGAGAAGATAAATAATAATTCAATGCTGGTAATCTCAGGTTTTCTCGGTATCGTCTTATCGAAATATAACATTTCCAAGATATATGCCACTTTTACCACTTTCTTTGATAGCTTCGAATGCGCGTGATAGCAATATATACTGTAAAGTAGTTGGTATAATGTCGTAGGTATATCGTAAGTATAAGGTAGGTAGTTACAAATACCTGAGTATATAATCAACTTCCCAGGTCTAGTTCTTCCTCCAAACTGAAGAAAAAGGAAAACTATACTCAGCATAACTATTTCTCTGAAATCAGAGGATTCACGGCCGAGTACGGATCGATCCAAAGGGGCTGCGGCGACGGCCTGGAGTTCGGCGAAGCTTGCTACTTCTTCATAGACGAGCCGACGACGGCGACTGATGCCCAACGCGAGTGCGAGGCCATCGAGGCCAATCTCACCAGCATCCATAGCGACGCGGAGAACTTCTTCATCGGTCTGTTGAAATCACGGGCTTTCGAACGGTCGCCGGGGTTCTGCGAAAGTATCTTTCGAAGTCGGCTGACCGCTGTTAAACGTTGAGAAGAGCATTTAATGATTGAATATTAAAAAAAACTAGATACCCTCTCGTCCAGGAAATGAAATTCTAGGAACGATGAGAAATGTTGCACCAGTTAAAGAACTCAAATAAATTCTTTATGAAATAAATAACTCACCTCTTGGCAGATGATTC